GCTCGCACCGACGTCCGCATGTGTATCCCCCACGGGCCCCCCCCTGGGGGCAAGTCCTATAAAAGGTGATGAGCCGAAAGGCTCGGGAGTCGGGACTCAGCTTTAACCAGAGAAGAACGAAGACCTGCTAGTATAGGCCCCGGAGCTCCCCTGGCTCGCTGTCCTTCTAAGGGCCGACCAGGGCAAGCCGGTGGCGTGGCCCCGAGAGCCCAGACGAAGCTGGTCTGGTGACTCAGGGAGCCGGGATCCCAGCTTAACCAAGCTGGGACAGATAGCCTCCCCTAGTCCCGTAGTGGAGGAGTTGGTATAGGCTAGAGGGGTTAGCTGTCGAGAATTCCCTGTAGCCAAGTGACCTGTAATAACTGTGTTGGTGTAATAAATAAGTGTGCCTCCGATCCTGTCGTCAAGCCTCCATATATACTTACTACACCTGTATAAAAGACACATGTTCACAGAAGCAATCAATCAGATTCCAAACTCTCCACCATGGCCAAGACCAAAGAGCTCTCCAAGGATGTCAGGGACAAGTGTGTAGACCTACACAAGGCTGGAATGGGCTACAAGACCATCGCCAAGCAGCTTGGTGAGAAGGTGACAACAGTTGGTGCGATTATTCGCAAATGGAAGAAACACCAAAGAACTGTCAATCTCCCTCGGCCTGGGGCTCTATGCAAGATCTCACCTCGTGGAGTTGCAATGATCATGAGAACGGTGAGGAATCAGCCCAGAACTATACGGGAGGATCTTGTCAATGATCTCAAGGCAGCTGGGACCATAGTGACCAAGAAAACAGTTGGTAACACACTACGCCGTGAAGGACTGAAATCCTGCAGCGCCCGCAAGGTCCCCCTGCTCAAGAAAGCACATATACATGCCCGTCTGAAGTTTGTCAATGAGCATCTGAATGATTCAGAGGACAACTGGGTGAAAGTGTTGTGGTCAGATGAGACCAAAATGGAGCTCTTTGGCATCAACTCAACTCGCCGTGTTTGGAGGAGGAGGAATGCTGCCTATGAATCTAAGAACACCATCCCCACTGTCAAACATGGAGGTAGAAACATTATGCTTTGGGGGTGTTTTTCTGATAAGAGGACAGGACAAATTCACCGCATCAAAGGGACGATGGACGGGGCCATGTACCGTCAAATCTTGGGTGAGAACCTCCTTCCCTCAGCCAGGGCATTGAAAATGGGTCGTGGATGGGTATTCCAGCATGACAATGACCCAAAACACACGGCCAAGGCAACAAAGGAGTGGCTCAAGAAGAAGCACATTAAGGTCCTGGAGTGGCCTAGCCAGTCTCCAGACCTTAATCCCATAGAAAATCTGTGGCGGGAGCTGAAGGTTCGAGTTGCCAAACGTCAGCCTCGAAACCTTAATGACTGGAGAAGATCTGCAAAGAGGAGTGGGACAAATCCTTCCTGAGATGTGTGCAAACCTGGTGGCCAACTACAAGAAACGTCTGACCTCTGTGATTGCCAACAAGGGTTTTGCCACCAAGGACTAAGTCATGTTTTGCAGAGGGGTCAAATACTTATTTCCCTCATTAAAATGCAAATCAATTTATAACATTTTTGACATGCGTTTTTCTGGATTTTGTTGTTGTTATTCTGTCTCTCACTGTTCAAATAAACCTACCATTAAAATTATAGACTGACCATTTTCTTTGTCAGTGGGCAAACGTACAAAATCAGCAGGGGATCAAATACTTTTTTCCCTCACTATAAGTAGTGAACCTTGATGCTCATTCTACATCCAAATGCTTGGAAACTCAAGAGCAGCTCCTCCACAATCTCTCGATAGTTGTCCGCTTTCCTGTTCCCAAGGAAATTCCGCACCACATCAGAGAATGCATTTCAAGCTCTAGCCTCTGCCGCAGTCACTGTTGTAACAAAGTGTGGATCCCTGATGAGTGTTCTTATTTGAGGGCCATCAAATATTCCTGCCTTTTTCTTCTCGGCACTGAGACTTGAAAAGGTTGAACATGTATAGCTGAAGCAGTCTCCAGTGTGACCAAGAGCTTTGACGAATTGCTTCATTAACCCAAGTTTTATGTGCAGTGGGGGAAATACAATTTTATTCCTATCAACCAGAGGCTCATTTTTTTCTTCTTGGTTCTTTCGGTAAAGTCACGTAGAATGGAAATAATAAAATAATAAAAATTAAACATAAAACATTTTATGATGTTTTATTTTTAAACATAAAACATTTTATTATGTTTTATTTTTATTATTTTATTATCTCCATTCTACATGACTTTACCAAAAGAACCAAGAAGATGAATCCCTGTAGTCACGAAAGCTTTAAATCGAAATTTTAAACCAGAGGCTCATTCTTGATGTTCTTGTCACCAGGCGTCAAACTGATTCTTGGTGGCCAGTTCTTTTTAACCCAGTGTTCTAATGTAGCCCTACTGTCCCAGTAGCACAGGAAATAAGGGTATTTGGTGTGACCTCCTTGCTGACCCAGCAGAATATTAACCATTTTCAAATCAACACAAATTAGCCATCCATGAACATGGTATTCCAATCTATCCAGAACAATCTTGATGTTGGCATACTCTTCATTCAGTGTCCTATTGGGATCGAACCATATATATTTCTGTTGTGAAGTAACACACATTTCAAACTCCTTTTACTACTGTCAATAAAAAGTCTCCAATCACTTGAATCATATGCGGGCAGTCCCATATTGAGAAGAAGCCCATCAACATCATTACACTAAACAAGTTGACCATCTGAATGGAAGTACTTTCGCAGTGCTGCTTCTCTGCTACGATAAAAGGAGACACTAGTGCCAGGTCTGAGTAGTCCTTTCTCTTGCAGCCTGGAAGCCAACAATTCAGCAGACTGCTTTGGCAAATACAAATCTCTTACAAGATCATTCAATTCAGGCTGACTAAACAGAGACATTTTATCACAATCTGCATCAGATGGCGTATATTCGATCTGAGCAGCATCATCATCATCATCATCTGTAGAAGCAGGTAAACTGAGGGATTCAACATCAATCTCTGGTAGCTCAGTAAATACAGGCACAGGTATTTCCTCACAGTGCTCAACTGGTCGTCAGGCAGATGGGATATCTGGGTATTGTAAGTGTTGTTTGTTTTTCTTATTGAAACATTTTACATTGAAAAGGCAGAAGTAGCAGTTATCCAAATGGTTTGTATGTTCTCTCCAAACCATTGGCACACCAAACTTCAGCTTAGCATTCTTTCCTTTAGACCATGATCGCAAAGTTTCAACACAGGTTTTACACAGTAGTTGGTTTTTACCCTTTTAAACTACTACTATATTTTGCCACTGGTAAAAAAGATCTCATAGTGTAAAGGTTTTACACACTTTGTGAGGAGCCCAATTTGTGTCTTGGTCTCCAAGTCGTACTTTAAAGTAGGCAAGATAAATCTTCTTGACAAAGGTATTGATGTTGCGCCTTTGATCCTGCAAAGTGAAGCTGCCACAGATGTAGCAGAAGATATCTGGGTCATTACTGCATTTCATTCTTTCGGATGTTGTAGCCATTGTTAGATCACGCCCTGCAGAAGAAAAATATTAAATAAATGTGGATATCTACATAAAATTATATTATAAACACACTATCCTAAAAATACAGCACCATATTTTAACACTAAAGCAGTCACTGACTCGCAACAATTTGCAATCGTAAGTGACAGAGTTAATTTGGGGTAAAATCAATGAAAATGTGGTATGGCGATAGCATAAAAATGAGATGTGATAGAGCAAATCTGAGATCAGATTTGGAATCAGCACCCTGAAATTAGTCTAAAACAGCTGCAAAAGTCCAGGCCAGAAATGTATTTTTGTTGACCAGTGTTATTAACTTTGCTTTTGTGCCCCAGTCACAAAAGCAAAGTTTGTGGGGAATAATAGCCATTTTCTGTACTTTTGAGGCAGACGCAATTAGAAAAAAAACACTACCCAGGAACAAAACAAATATTTTGTTTGTTACACAACCGACCACGAATAATATGAACTGTCCAGTGTCGGCCACATAGCAGAAAAAAAACAAAAAGTGTGCAACAACAATTTTAATTAATTATTCATGTAGATCCTAAAGCTGCACCAAATCTCGATTTAAAGCTTTCGTGACTGCAGAGATTCATCTTCTTGGTTCTTTCGGTAAAGTCACATAGAATGGAAATAATGAAATAATAAAAATAAACATAATAAAATAATTCTCACGACGTTTCGGTCACAACGCAAGCAGGCCGTCCTTAGGTGAAGAACAGGTCTGTCGAAAGACTGTCTTTTCACCTGAGGACGGCTGCTTGCGTTGTGGCCGAAACGTCGTGAGAATTATTTATTATGTTTTATTTTTATTATTTTATTATTTCCATTCTACGTGACTGCACAAATTCGTCAGATGTTTTTGTTTATTTGTATATGTTCCGCGTTTTAGGAAATCATGACCTCTGTAGATATTAGAGGCTGCAATATTTACCAATTCATCGAATTGGCAAGTGTATTTAGGGGGAGGATTGAATGATTGCATTCTTAGAAACGAACAATGAAAAAGATGATCATATCGTGATGAAAGACATGGACTATAAGACCTGAAAAAAATGATGTCATACATCCAGGAAAGGCTAGATATTTTCCAAGGTGGGTGCTACATTGCGATGTTTGGTCAATTTCATTGCATGTGGAAACCGGATTACCAGAACACCCACCACACACTCAAAGATCAACACACATTGATGGGTCCACCAACCGACTTGCTGTTCTGCAAACTAACTGGGCGCCTCGCTGCACAGTGGATCTGGGAATTTCGCAAATCTCGAAATGATCCACCAACTTTTCCTCCAAAGAGATGGATCAGAGTTATGAACCACTACGATGAACTCAAAGTACATCACCCACCCGCCTCCCTCCCACTCAACCTCCATCACGTCACACGATCCATATGCCACGCTTATAACACGTTATAGCACTCACGGTTCGCTCTGTAAAGCGGAAATTCGCTCTGTAAAGCGGAAATATCAGCTTTATTTATGTAGTAAAAATGTAAATACAAGTTTTCGTCAATGTTAAAAAAAAGCATGCAAATGACTGAGCAATAACAATGAGAGGCAAAGCATGGCGCATGAATCTCCACTGCCGACTCCGTGGCACCTGTTATCATGTCAACAAGAAGACGCTGGTGCCTTTCCTCGCACCGGTCAGGCTCAGTACACCGCATGACGGCACAGTGACCACACGAGTGCAGCCCCAACGCACAAATACTGTTCATTAAAGCAGGCTACTATGGACATTATATTATTAAACACGACAAGAAGTTACAGCAGATAACCGAGGAAATCAACCCAGAGCTGATACAAACTTAACACTGAAGTCTCCAAAGTAGCGTTAACTGTACAGAGCTCACTGGGACGACCAGTGTATATTCGTGGTAATTTATGTGGACATACACCGCGTCCCACGCACCCGAACGCTGGAGTGTTTGGTCGGAACCCTTTCGGAATTGTTTTTTTTAAAGGGCCCAGTTTCCATGCCCCGGCGCGTAAACATTTAAATCGTTGAGCGAAGCCATGCAGTTCAGCGGGGCTGTGAAGTTCTGCTATTTTGTTTTATTTTTGCCAAATATAGAGACTTGATGATTATGCGAGCCAAGGTACCGCACTGATGTAGCGCCTTAGAAAAACAATTGTATCGTTAGGTGTGTACAGTCACGGACCGAGAAAATAAAATAAACGTCCGTCGATGTGCATGTATGGTGCGTAATATATTCCAGTCAGCGTACGACAAGCTGAGTACCACGAAAAGATATCCATTTGTCACCATCGTGGCACTGATATTGAAGTGTGTATAGACAATGTCACAGATACACAGCTGCATGCACACTTGTCCACTCGTTTCTACAGGGGTCTGGCCAAATTTTTGTAAAACACCTAAAATAATGGTGCTTTGCTTCGTCATGTCAAGCGATGCACGCCAACAGAGGACAACATTTATTGAAGGTGTTTATCCAATTGGTCACAGATTGACATCCTGACCAAACAGCCTAAAAACGCATCGGTTAGGCGATTTTTCACGGGCCGTTCTTCACCAATATTTGGATAAAGTGGGACAACCTTCGCCAATCTATGGATATGGCCGCAGAAAGGCCTTTGCGAACATTGCCAGACTTTGCATGAGGTAGATGTGCAACCATTACTGTACCTTTTACCAAGTTTTTGCCAGTCTGACTCCAGGTGGTGAATGTTGTTTCGCAGTGGCAGGCTCACTTATGAATAAAATGTGTTGAAGATGCCTATTTTATGATTTCAACTCTCGTCTATCTTGTACAATAGCACTTTGCTATCCATTCAAAAATGATGTAGGGCAAAGTAGTCGGTTGCACGAGGTGGTTAACGTCTGGTATCTGAGAAACCGTGTGCCTGGTTACCTCTAATACGCTTTCCCCATAGTAAAAAAAACGCCCCCCATTGAAGTGTTATATTTCCATGGCGTGGACTTGCAACGCTTTTATAATGCAGCCGTAAATGATATACTGAGCCGAGAACATAACACAATTAAATTGACACATTCCATTCTTCTTTTCGATTGCTTTCAAGTGAAACGTTTTAAAGGGGGGTGCGTGGTGTAGAGGTGAAGGTGCCGGGAGACGCCACCGCCAAGATCCTCATTTTTGAACCCAGAGAGCGACTAATTATTAAACCGGCTTCTCATGGACAGCAGAGGTGATGGTCTCAGTCTGGTCACATATGAGCACACACAAAATAAAAAAACGTAACATTTGGTTTTGCTATTTAATTTGGCTAACTTCCAGCAATGATAATTCGAATATCGGCGTCACTGTAATGCAACCATCTCATAGCAGAGTGCATGGGAAAGTGCTATCCCACTTGTAAAGGACAAAAAGGCCGCTCAAATGATTATTTGGGAGAGCTTCGGAGAAAACTCCTTTCTGCAACATTGCTCTGCCATACGGGAGATTTCCTCAATGAGTCTTTGTTTCCTGACATGATGCTTCCATCCCAATTGAAATTGATGAAGGAATGATTGACCGACACCTGCACCCAGCTTAAACTGCATTATTAAAAGTGACAGTATATTGAATAGAAATCACAGCAATGACTGGTATTGTTATTTTTTTCATAATGTAAATAAGCATATACATCACTTTAAACTCCACAGTATGAACCACTTCAGTTTGGAAGTCTCTGCGAGTCTGACTTGAGATCAAGTCCATAATGTGCAGGTAAGATGCGCATCCAGATTCTAAAGGTACAGTCACGGACGCAAATATACCAAATGTTAACGACCGCGTAACGTCCTACGGTGGATATAATTAAGGGATGAAACGTGTTGAGAGAGTAAATTCTAAATCGGACGTTCTCAAACATTGCTCATCACCCCCCAAACACAGCCCCCGCCTTCCCCCATGTCTACCAATTAATGGACAGATTCAGTCCATCATTGCCTGGTTTACATTTCAATGGAGAAAGTTGATGATTGTGGGTAGGTTGGTCGTGGTGAGATGCGGTGAGTGGAGCTTCATGTTGCACGCAAGACCTAAGGGGTGGCCCTTACCTCATCCTCACTACAGGCTCTTAATGCATTTAACCACATGCTGCTCAAGGCAATGTGCCTATTAAACCATGGACACGTTTGTTATTCGCCAAGACGATTGCACATAGCTCCGGACGCCTGACACGACGAGCAACGCACAACGAGCGGAGCATTTTCACTTCGATAGCGTTGCTTAGTTAAGCCACACACTGATTTGAAAAACAATCCAACAAAGAACCTACAATTTACATTGACACGTTGTAATTAAAGACTGGCACCTGTTTTAATGCATGCGTGATAATATCTGTCCGAGAACTTTATTCCAGGAGAAAAAAATATATATATACACACCTAAACATCCATTTTGTTCAAAATGTTCAGACGAAGTCTGTGCAGGCAACTTCGAGGCTTCACAGATGCATCTACCACTCAAAACATAATCATGTCTTTGCAAACTTCCGAGACAAATCAAAGCAACAAAAAAAAGAGCGCAGCGTGCCTATAAATACGACGGTGAAGATGATCGGGCACAGAAAGCCGACCCACGTGTGTTCAGCCCACGAGCAAGAACTGAAGTTTCTGTGAAATGTGAGCGAGACAATGGGAGTTGATGGCGTCTCATCAAGCGTGAATGGGACATGCGCTGCAAGATACCTCTATAATGGATCACACACAATTGCACTATGAAGGCTGGCAACATGATCAGCTTACATAATACAAAAAAAAAACTGTATTATAGATGATATTGGTCGCGAAAGCCTACGTGTTAAATGGTGAGCTTTACCAAGACACTGAAGAGGTTGCTGTACCGTTTAAAAAACAACACATTGCGACTGCACTCCACGCTCCTGCTTTTTATGTCGTGTTTAAAGTAGAAGTATCTCCACGCTCCTACGGCAATGGGATGGTAATTCACATTTGAAGCAGAGGTCAACCGGCCGTGATTGGCCTTGATCTAGGAAATTCCACATTTCCATGGTGGAGAATATCTGCAAGATGGCTTATGTTGACCTTCGCGCATGGTGCCACTAAGTTTGTTCAGCTTTGGAGGGCTGACATGTTGAATTGACCCGCGATTGGGATTTAAACACTAACAACATTTCTATGAATGAAACTCTGCATGGCGAAGGTATGGCAACGGAGCAGCAATTACTGGACCAAGTCCTTGTTAAACGTTGAGTGGCTTGCGATGTTCTACAGGGCTGAGTCTTAATGTCAGCCAACAGCACGTGCTGCTCATCAGTTCAGATCACAGTTCGAGCTTGCCGATGTAAACTAACGTACCTTGGAAATGACACGACCTCACTCACAAAAGTCAAAGTAAGAGGGCACTGATATCAGAGGGAGTCACTGCTCGAAATTCCACATTCCTATCGTGGGGGAGACAGTTTGCCATAGGATGACTACTGTTGTTTGAGACCGCAAACTACAAGCTCAACGGTGGGCTCCGTGGACCTTACACGTTCCAGATTAAGTCTTAGGACAACATAGGTTTGGCTAAAGAGCTCTGAAAACAGGATATTAAAAGCGTGGACACTCACAGTTATTTCCGAACGTAATACTGTAACCTTCAATGCATTTAATCTACTATTATGATCACGTATAAACAGCAGCTTGAATAGGAGCCCAACATTGAGCAGAACGTATGACCAGAACATAAAAACCCACACACACACATTCATGACACCTTCCGTACTTTACTTTTTATATGCTAGCCTTTTCAGTCTTCATTAAATCCATATCCCACAAAGCGAATAAATAAAAAAGAGGCTCTCGGCGCACCAGGGGAGGAGATAATACTAAAACAAATTATCAGGACGCTACTAGGCACAGGTTCCTCCTCCATGACTGTTGTTGGTGTGCGCCCACCCAGATCCGCAGACCCAGGGAAATACTGGAGCTCGCTGCAACTGGGGCCCCAGCTAAACAAGTTCGCACAACGTACAACCCAAACATTGTTGTTTTCCTGGCTCCCGACAGAACAATTTTGTCTTCCAGCCTGGCAGTCGACCCACCAGTCACTGCTTCACTTTAAATAAAACAATCCAGTTTTGCTAAAATTGACATTTCACAAATTGATTCAGGACCACAACCATACTCAAATCCCGGCAATACCCCTGCCATGAATTAAATGTTTTTTATTCTTGAAAATACATCCTACCCAATACAGTGGTATGTCCACCGCCATATGTTGTGTTATGCAAGCATGAGGGAAGCGTAGAAGCTGTCTTTCCCAGGTTTGTAAGTTATCCACAATAGCTGGTGTCCGTATTGTGGTCATATCTATTGTCTGTAATATAGGCATCTAAACCGTTAGCTATATTTCAGTGTTGCATGGGTTTTCACGGTTGTACTCTCCAACTGACACGGTGCCGAACACCACGAGGTGTAACCTGAAAACACATCACAGAGCTATTCCAGTTGTTGAATAAATAAAAATTAGCAGTCTACAATTGCACATTTTGACCTCAATCATTGTGGGAATGTTAGAAACCTGAAGCAGAGCACTCCTCCCTCGTACAGCGATCACATGGCCGTCTTAGCGTAGGGTTAAGATAAAGTCACACTCACCTGTCATCCAGCACTCGACCATTAAGGCTCCCTTTACCACACCACTGCGTGGCAGATGGGCTAGCAGTCGCGTATTATGTTCATTGGCTATCCCTGCACAAAGGATAGTAACATCTCATCCTGTTCTTTGGAATCAAAATTGGCACGCCCCGATTTTAATAAACTAGCGAGGATCGCGATCATTATGCGGTGCAGTTAGTGATTCCGACAGCAAATGAGAATAACAATCGGAATGAATCGTTGTGTCGAGTAGGCATTACGGACATGATGGATGGCAACATTTTAGACTTTTTCACACGAAGAACATGTTCACATTTTTTTTCTTATTGTAAAAAATACAAAGCTGAACAAAAATAGGGAGGAATTCAATTAAATAGCAGATTAGTTATTCGGCACGTTTTGCACCGTGATGTTGCTGATAACACGATTTTTACAGGTAATTCATGTTGACAAAGCAATAAGCATCTTAAACGCAAACTAATAATACCACGGACGCGATGTCCCCCCACGATCACATTAGTCGCAACGCATTACAGCTGACTGACATTTTTCAAGACGTGTCTGAAACACAGAACATTGCCATCACTTTTTGTTTTTTGTTGCTTTTATCGCGAATAAAAGCTTTCATATATGTTCCTTGTGCTTGCATCCACTCGGCACCACGAGGTCTTGGGTTTAATCGTCCGGAATTTTTACAATTGCAGTATCACGGACTGCACCGATGGAAGAATTGTTAATACAAGTAACTCAATCATGTGTTTTTTGGGGTTTGTTGTGAAGGCCACGTCTCCCCCAATGTAAAATCCCTGACCTTCACACTTTCAATCTAGATTTGAAGCTTTCGTGACTGCAGGAATCCATACTCTTTGGTTCTTTCGGTAAAGTCTTGCTGTGGGTAAACCACAGCAAGAAAACGTTTTTTTTTGCTGAAGTGGGAGAGAGATGCCGTGGTAAGAGGTTATATAAGTAAGAAAGGGGGGAGGAGGAGGGGGGTGTTGGGTAGGGCCAGCGCTGCGTGGACGCTAGGAGAGGGGAGTGAGGCTGGGGGAGTGAGGCTGGGGGGGGGAGTGCGCGGGGCTGGAAGTGGGTGGCCGAGAGAGCTGGGGATGCGGGGGGGGGGTAGTTAACTTGGAATAATAGACCAGTACCCGGCACGTGTGAAAGAAGACAACCGTTACAAAGTAGCTAGGGTTTTTTTTACCTGGTTAATAACATCCTTCCAATGATTGCTCAATTTAAAATGAGATGAAAATAATACATTCTTGAATTACTCCATGAATCGTGGCAATTGGTCAAATCAATCGGAGGGTGGGGGAAGGTGAATATTAACAGGCCTCGTACCGATCTACCCATGAGCTACCTGCTCGAAATAATGTGGCCAATCAGGACTTTACTTAATCACTTATGTTTCAACATAGGCGATTCGCCACTCTCAAGAAAAAATCACTGATTTCTCTCTTTTTTTGAAACTTGAGAACGAGCATGTGCAACGAGAATATCCATCATTACAGTACCTGACGATGTCCCGTTACGGTGCCTGTGTGCCTCGCAAAGATCTTTCTAAGAATTCTCGGCGTAATAGGTGAAGATTCCGATTATAATTATCCGGTGGTGTTAAATTGCAGTCCGTATAATCTGCCCACGTGTCGGCTCACTGTGCATGGGGATGTGCAGACACGTGCGCCACACGAGCCGTGTTACGCCGCTTTGCGAATCATGCAAAATCCGGCATTGGTGTGAATGGAGAATCGCCGAAACGACGGACAGCCAGCCCGCGGACGGATCACGAAGGCTGAAGTAAAAAAAAAATCGCCGTTTTAAGCTGATGTTTCCAGATAATAGGTGAGCTAAAGGGAATGCAGTTGGGGCCAGAGAGAGAGAGATGAGGAGAGCGGAGGAGGAGGGGACGGTGGTGGGGTGTGTGGTGTGAATGTTGACTCCTACTGGAGAATTAAACGTATTGTTCTTCTGACAGTCACGTCGCCACTTTCAGCTTTGGATGATGTCGTGTCCATAGCTGGAGGGTACGGAGCTGTAAAAAAAATACGAAAAGCGACGTAGCTACGAACGTGAAGAATACAAAACACGGTGCACGCGGATGATGTGATTCAAAGAATAGTACGAAAAAAATGTCTTTAATAAGGCAAACCACATGATTGTTGAAAAAACTGTAAAACACGCCCATGAGAAAATAAAAGATGAAAATTGCACAGTGTAAATTATGCCAGCGTATGACGTTATCACAAACGCACTGGCATGCTTTGGGCGAAAGCAACCGCGATAATCGAGGCGTGCGAGAAAATGTGTGGGTCAACCACTACACTGGGTGCTGCAGTATGTGGCGGCAGCAGCAAGTGACACGCCTGAAGCAGCCATGCCAAGCACCGAGGCAAATGAAATGTGCTATGAACAAATCCATCGTCACGTTCTCTCATTAACTGAAGCCTTCCCGCAGCTGCTGGTCGCTCGGCCCTGCGGCTTTCACCGAATTTGTGGCAAACATAAACCACGTGCGTTCATGTGAATGCGCGTAATTAAAAGAATACAGGTATATGTAAAGTAGATAAGTGTATGCGTACATATAAACGCCACACGTACGTATACAATGCGAGTTTGTTAAAAAATATATATAACTAAATTGCCAGTCGGCAAGGCACGTAAGGGAGCACACATCTCAGTGTGCGTTCTCCGACATCTGACACTTGGGATAAAGTCATGGTGTGTGTGGCCAAGGCTCAGCTCCAGCTCTTCCAGTATTTAAAATAATGGTACATTTTCATTGTCTTTTTTAAGTAGTTTATTTTATACCAACACAAAGCCTCTTTCTTTACAGCTGCTGTAATGACCACTTAAAGTCAACAGCATGTTAAATAACAAGTCTTTCATCCAGGAGTGTGTCTATCTTTGGAAATTTTCAGAGGCTTAAGCCGACAGCATTTCACTTTGCCCAGTAGCTTGCTTAAGTCATCATCCCATCAGCGCAGTCTAGCCTAGATGCATCAGCTTCCAATTGTGGTCAAGGGAATGGCTTCACAGATCCAACTTTAAACTGCTCATTCCAATGCTGGGCAGCACCTTCTGACAACCGATACCTCCATCCATACAGTCGCACATCAGCCTATGAGAGAAAGTTAATTTAATATGGCCCACACCATTCACGCTATTAACTCAGGATATGCGAAGGGGTGGAGCGTTGGTGCGGTGTTTAGCGCACTGTGCTATGAACCCAGCCACCTGAGTTTGAAACAATGGTTAACAACAATGGTAAGTGATGTCTGAGGCAGTCCTGGGCTTCCCTCCTTCACCAACCCACATTGTATGATTAAGTATGATCACACAACCGCCGTGACTGAAACAGAGTGTTGAAGACTTCATCCATTATCATCATCATTCTGCCAAAGGCGTACGGCCAGCTCAAATGGCAGCCGGTGGCGACAGAAGACCGACGTCCTTGGCAGCGGCAGACGATGCTGCGGAGGAAGATCCTTCCTTCCGCACGGCGCTGCGGTAGCCATTGTGGCCCAACCTGGCTGCCCCCAAGGCCCCTCCCGACGTGCGCTGCTGCTGCTGCTCCTCCGCCATGTGGCCTCGTTGGTCCGGGTCTTCGCTCTGCGATGCCGGTGCAGCGGTCGTGGTGGCCAGGTTGTCGTTGCTATGCACCTCGCATGCCCCATTTCCTTGCAGCTGCTGCTGCTTTTGACCGCTGAGCCTCCGCTGCTCTTCCTGTCGCAGAAGCTCCTGCGCTTCCTGCAGCACGCGTGCATTGTACCCGTAGGGCAGCGTCCGCGGCTGCGTGCTGGCGGGTCGGGGCCTACCGGAGGAGCTGCGGTTGTGCTGCGTGACACTCGGGGCACGCGGGCCCGTCGCGCTGCAACCGCTACTGCCACTACCGCCGCTGCTGCTGCCACCCGAGCTGGCACCCGCGGCTGCGAGGTTCCCACTTGGCGCTTGCACAAGCCAACTCGCGGGCTGCGACGTCTTCTTGGGATGCCTGAACCACATGGCAATCGGACGAGGCACGCCATCGTGAGGGATCGGGCGAGTGAGTGAGCATTTTAAAAGCAGTCTCTTGTGACTTTGATCTCTGCCCCCCACCCCCCTAACAGTGAAATTGTTCACAGGCTACACATTCGTATGTAAATTTCAACACTAAACCATATCGAACACTTTCTGTAAATGACGAGAAACAACTCAAACTGAAAAAGTGACAAATTATACACGCCAGATGCGATTTCTACGCTGCAGAAAGTGTGATTTGTGACCATTATGCCTTGCATGAGAGATCACTACGCTGCACATACAATGCATACAGTCTTGTCTTAAGAGCACCAATGAGGCCTGTATAACAGTATCATCCATGTTATGAAAAAATAAGAAGAGGTTTTACCCTTTCTGGCAATAAAACAGGTGTTAAGATGTTCAAACACCAAATAGAAACATTTTTCAAGGAATCAAGTCGACATTAACCACACGGACTTGTGGTGAACATGCAAACAAACATGGTCTGCTCATATATACATTGTCTTTAAAACTGATTGGCCTACATCAGAGACAGCCTTCTTTAGGACCTCGTCTCTCCAGTGTTAGACCAAAGAACGCCAAAATGTTAGGGATCAGAAGAGTACAGCCATCATTGCCTACTGCTGCCTAATTTGACACTGCACATTACATGCGAAAAAACGCATGGAAGCTAAGCTAAAAATCACGTGAACTAAAGCATTAAATTAAAAGCCACATCGTTGAGACTAAAGGATATGTTTCTTGGAATTAAACTGAGAGAGACACGTGGATTAGAAAACAAATGCAAATCTGAGACACATTATTGACTGTTAAACAAAGTGAGATTGGGCAGGGCAGATCATGGCTACAAGGGGTAATGGCCGATGCATGAGACCGAGACAGTTTGGTAGCCTACGGAGAGAGTAAGCTGCTGAGAGGATGACCACTGCAGAGATGGTGTGACGAGAGCAGTTCATGTGCAGAAGTGAGATGGATTGTGGCATCTCAGGACCATGAAGGATGGCAACAGCGTGGGTAAACCTTCATTCAGTAGTGGCTTGACAACGGCTGATGATGACCACGAACATCGTATTGTAAGGGAATTAACGTTATGCTGGATAATTTAATGAAAAGTAAAACTGTGAGCGAGACTGCATGGATTGGAGAGACAACATAACTTTTGTTTATAAAGAGTGTAAATGCGACAATATCTCAAGACAATTTCCAAAGCAGTTTTTGTGTGGTTAAAAGCGATGAGTAAACATGGAAATTTTAAACTGCATTGGAGGTGACAGAGGGTAGAGACACGAAAGAACCGTCGTTGGGGAAGAGCTGTCTTCCAGGAATGAGAATTCCCTGGGCTGGGGGGTGGGTGAGTGCTCCATTGACTGTTTACACGGAATGCGCTGGGAGAGCGCCTGACCTCTCCTGAAACACAGAAACGCTTTCATCCCGTCTCCACCTCCCAAGCCCCTATGACTGTGCACACCCCGTCACTCTTTTGGTAATGATTTTGTCAAGGTGCTTCGGTTTGACTTCACAGTGCATCAAGATATTTGTTACCACATTAATACAAATACACAACCATCACATTTCGGTCAATGTTTGGGGGCCAGGTGTGGTTAAAACACCTGACCGGGAAGTTGCAAGCACCAATCCAGGTTTCGTGTCGACTAAAAGCCAACCACCTTTCACACTGTGGGCAGTAAACAGTAGAATCCATCACACGAATGTGGGATTCCCACCACTAGCTCAGGGCTGCCAATGGAGATGAACAATTTCTCTCTCGCCAGTGCTCACTTGTGAATGAGGGACGCACTTTCACTCAAAAATGAATAATGGTTAAATAACCTCTACAAACTGTTCGGCGTGGGGAGGCCCTTGTCGTCCAGAAACATGGGAGACATGGGAGGTAGATCCATTAAGAGGCACGTATGAAAACTATCTGCCTGTAGGAAGCAGTGCAGCAAGTAGGTTGCAGAGCTCTTCTCTGCAGAGTTCAAAGATTTTCCCTTGTGTGTGGATGTTCCATTAAATCTGGTCTTCTGAAATGTTCATGAGCGAAAAAAACACATTCATCTGTTATATTATTAGACTGGGGGGGGAGCGGTGGCATAGGGGTTAGTGCAATGTAACATGAACTTGGTACCCCAAGTTCAACCTCTAGCCACCATTATCATCAGCAGTGAATTCATATGAACTGGTCCAAGGTGCAACCCCCCCCCCCCCCCCCCCCCCCCCATTTTCACCAAGCTACAATCACTGGCAAGCTGAAGTATAGTAATATTATTAATTATTATGATTGTATCAGAGCATCATGCGTGATGTCTGTGTGGCTATTTGTTCATGCATGAGAGCACCAAAGCCATCTTGATAGAGTGCTGATTAATAAAGCATGTTGTTGCTTATGATGCTGTTTTGCGCTCACGTTTCCCAATTTTTCCCCTGGCAGCGAGACAGTGAGCCGAGGTGAGGTGTGATGCCGGGTGTGATGTTGAGTGCGATGATGGGCGAGAGGTGGGCTGTGAGGCAAGCAAACGAACAAGGGAGAGTGCGAGCAGTCGAATAGGTGGGTAAACGAGCTGGTGATTGAATGAGAGTACGAGTGAGTTAATGAGCGAGTGACAGACTTAGAGTGTGCGAGTGAGTAAAATAATGAGTAATTGAATGAGCTCATGAACGAGTGAGCCAATTATTTAGTGAGGCCCTCTCTGAGGCTCCCTCAGCCCTCTTTTGGATCTCAGGATTCGGAAAAACTGCCCTAGATTCCCCCCCCCCCACTCCCCATCTCTGTGGCCTTGGTTACCTGGGTAGGGAGTTGTAGGGCCTCTGCACCTTTGGTTGGATTGGCGGTGGGGGCTGAGGTTCGCCCGATGGGAGAGCGTGCCCGTTCTGTTGGTCAGACGTTGGAAACTCCTGTGTAGAGGGACACATGGGATGGAGGCCAAAACAAGGATGAGGGGGTGATTGAGTTAGAAAAAACACGCAAGTAATAAACAAGGGCAATTCCACTGTCATCATGGATAAAACCACTTACAATAACAAAATTTAGGACCTTCTTAATGATAGCAGCTTTACCAAAATCATTAGAGATCCTACCAACCGCCTGGCCACACAAACCAACAATATCATCACCAATTCGACTTCTCCAATCGAACTGACCAATCAACCCTGCTTCCTTTCACGGGCAAGACCACCTCAGCTGTACTTAACTCAGCTCACTTGGTTTCTCTAATCAAGGACATCTCAATGTCTCCAGATGATTTGCTTGTTAGTGTCGATGTAGTCTCTCTGTTCACCAAGGTACCTGTACCTGACACCATTCATTGCAATCATTGAAGACTTGGTCCAACAGGGACCGAATCCTGATGTACCAACTTTGGTGAGGCACTGCCTTACCAACACTTACTTCACCTGGAATGGTACATTCTACAAACAAAATTAGGGTAAATATAGCATTGAAGATTTCGTGACTGTATGAATTACTATACTCATTGGTTATTTAGGTAAAGTCACGTATATAGAAATAAAATAAAAATAATAAATCACGAATAAAATTAAGGTACCCCAATGGGTTCTCCCTTATCGCAAGCCTCCAAATGTAGCTGCTTAGAAGGGTTTCAAAGTGAGTGGGCGGGGGAAAGAGCTATGCAAGCAACACGAGCTGCGCAAGAGGCACGCTAATGCAGGAGCAAAACAAAGGGGGAGTTAGGCGGAGGTGAGCTTGTGCAGCGCAAACAGCATGGGCGGGACAGCCAGTCAGCCAGCGTTAATGTAGGAGCAGACGATGGGAGAGGGCAGAGACAGGGGGAGAGAGAGGGGTGGGGCAGAGATGGTGGGGGGGAGGAGGTAGAGATGGGGGCGGGGCATTGCACCTAGCGACACCCATCCACATCTTTCCAATGATTGCTGAGTTTAAAACCGTCGTCTCGGTTGAAATTGTGTCTGGATATATGGATGGCTTCGTGAACGAATCTTTGTTGATAGCCAGTCGGCTTGCAAAGTACCATCGTCTTTGAGAAATCAATTTCATGTGAGCCAGCCGCATTAAAGTAGTGATCAGCCATGGCAGAAGTATTGGTCCAGCCGTGTTTCAGATCTGCCTTATGTTCACGAACACGGTCCGAGACATGTCGTTTGGGTTTCTCAATGTAACGGCTGCCGCAGATACAGCTTAGTTTGTAGATGCCGGGATATTGCATGTCAGGAATCTTGTCCTTCACAGATGGGATCAGGTCACGAATTTTGTGCACCGTGTCAAATCAGACCTGGATCTTGTGTTCAAGATTTTGGAAATATTTTTGGTTATCCATGCTATGCAAGGTAAGGTGATGGTTTTGATTGGATCTTCAGATGGCTCCTTCCTCATGGTTGGGGTGATGGCTTTGCGGATTGTGTAGTCAGAATATCCATTTGTCTTCTCCAACGCTCCCAGCAGGGTAATTTCCTCTCTGCCGCATGGATGAGCGCGTGGGAGCGAGCACGAGTCTGGGAGCGAGCACGAGTCTGGGAGCGAGCACGAGTCTGGGAGCGCTCATGCTTTTTCCCCGTACAAGGCACGCGTGCCAGATTCAGAGTCCATGCCTCTTAAACCACACGTCTGTTAGCTTCCTTAAAATGCATTATTGTGCTTGTAATGAAAAAAAATGATTATGCATTCACATTTCTGACATTCAACTAAACTGGGAATACATTTTGTAGATCAGGATATTTTTTCTGGTTCGAGGAGCAAGACTACTGCTGTCATTATTGCCCACAATGCAATGCTTATTGCTTTTTGAAGCCTTCTCTCTGTCTGGTGTGCGTAGCTTCAGCTCCGTGTGGCCGAGAATATTTGTTTTACCTTCCACCAATTAAGGCAATGTGCAGCCGTTTAGAATTCACATGTATGCCACGTCAATAACGAGACTAGCGAATCAGTGAAATATGGCCAGAAAGCGTAACACGGGTGGCACACAGTGGTGGAGCGAGTGGCTCGCAATAGGAAAGTTGCGAGTTCAAATCTTGGTTGGGTGTTGACTCAGCCCATCATCCCTATGTGTTGATAAAATGTCGTGGTGGTACAAACTTTTTCTACGGATAACCTCACCCCTGCCATATGAATGTAGTGTTTCCACAACTAGCTCAGGGCTGTAAACAGGACATGAGCACCACTTCAATGCTCATTTGAGAAGGAAATCATTTGTGTTTTGAAGAGAACGGGACAACATGAATCGTGAAACGAAAGAAAGTCGGAGCACAAGCGAGGACTTGCCATCAGCGCGACCGCATGAGCTCCTGGGATCCCGGTATCAGGGCAACGACCACAACCACCGCAACGACTCACCAAGCAGCGCCCGAAAGCTCGTCCGAGACACACAACGCATGCAGCGATAACCCGAGATGCGGAATGCAGTGGCCAACTGAGAGCCTCGCTAACCTCCAACCCACGGAGAGCTACCACTGCCACGGCCATAATTCTTTCGTCTCAACTGCCCCCCTTGCTTGGCCATCGCTCCTCACAGTATTACGACTCAAGGCTAGGTGGGGGGCGGGGGGGGGACCTTACTGTGCCAATATCAGCCACAACGCATTACCCTCTCAACCACACCATTCACCGCGATCTTCTCCCTCTGCACTCCAACTCAACCTTGGCTTTGTCGGAGAAAATATCACACGTTCATGTCTTTCCTCCGATGGCTGCCTGTATGCCCGTGCACACCCCCCATGACTGCGTTTTTTCTTGCAGCCCTTTATGTAAAGAGAACAGATGTTTAACACGTAGGCTTTCTTGACCAATATCATTCATAAGCGATTGAATGAAACAAAAAGTTCAAATTTGTTCCGTGTAATGAGCCACGTATCGCAGGGTAATATCGTCTTCTTTGGTTCTTTCGGTAAAGTCAATTAGAAAGAAAATAAATTAGATCATAGAATACAACTTTTCGATTGCAACACAATCAGTCGTCATCAGATAGAACTACATTTGAGAGGCAAAACACAGACACGGAGACACAGACAGACACATAAGCAGAGAGAGACAACACAGAGGCAGTGTTTCATTCAAGAGAGAGTATTTCATTCAATCAATTTCAAGAACACTCCAATGTACACATAATGAAACTATACAATGTTCCACTTTGTCTATCTTTAATACTGTCTGGGCAGCAGCTGTGACCAGGTTGCGAAGCTGCCAAACTTGCGTGCCCGAGCACCTTTTTTTTTAAGTGCTCTTAAAATTATATATTTTCACCTGGGGTTTATTTTGATTTGTTCTGTGGAATAAAAAAAAGATGTTGAAGATAACTTTTGCCATGATTTCTCTTAAAAAGAGAAAAAATAAACACGCTCGGACTGTGGGTTCTCTTGTCCGAGGAGGGTCATATTTTGCCCATGTCTCAAACATTTTTAATCGCGCAATGCTTTGCCAAGATTTGCCAAGTTGAGAAAACCTTCCCAATTGAAAGAAACTGAAATCTGCACCCCAGATTTAGCCGAGTATCTCATGAGGCTCATTATTATCTCGTCAAAGAACCAAGTCAGCACCACTGAGGTCTTTGGTTGAATGTGGGTTTCAACTACCCCAAGTGAAAATTGGTTCTCAACTATGGCCAGTCTCATAGCAGTGAGCAATAACTGCACAGAAAGGACAATGTGATACTGCTACTAATGTATGTGTATATATGTAGTGGAGTAGCGCGCGCGGGGGTTTGCAAACAGTGTGCACGCATGTGTGAGCTGCGGACAATGTGGTCATTTCAGGGCGAACAGGTGCAGAGAGGGAGACAAAGAGAGAGCGACCAGAGAGAGACGACCAATTAAGATGCATAACGGTGATTGGCTGGCTGCAAATGCAAACACGGTGTAGGCATCCTCGCAGGCGGGAGATGGAGACGCCGCGTGAGCGACGGCTCAACGAGGGCCACCTGAGGTCTCTTAATGAGCGAGTTGGTTGGAGTGAAGACAGAAGATTATTACAAAAGAAGTCCAGGACTCTGCTCTCCACACCTCGTCCTCTCCAGCGGTGTTGGCTGATCCCCCGCTGGAGGCATGGGCGAGGTTGGAGGAGTGAGGGTAGACAGGCTAGCAGTAGAGAGGCTAGCGGAATCCTAAGTGTGAATGTGATAAGGCTAGCAGTAGAGAAGCTAGCAGAGTGCATAGCAAGAGGCTAGCTAGCAGAGTGAAAATCGCAGGCTAGAGGAGCGAGAGAGAGCGAGTGGAGCGTAGCAGACGAGCAGTACAAGAGGAAGAGTTGCGACGGAGACACGTGGTGTTGAACGCGAGGAGTTCTGTACGAATAAAGTGACACAGGAGGAAAAAAGTTGTCCGTGTGAAATAACACCACTACATATATACACAAACACACATTAAGAGCCTCATATACAGTCCAGTAATTATGTATTTAGATTTCTGCCAACAAAAAACGTATTGGAAGATTATCGCACATAATCATACATTAGAGCTGCTCAAACACAATATGTAAATCAAGCAGCAGACAGCAGGGGCCACAATAAATGCTGCCACCCATCAGAGAGCTAGGAGGAAGTCCCCTTATACTGGTAGGAACCTCCTGGTTACACCAGCCCACAGGGGATTATTGTGTCCGTCCGTCGTGCAAGGACGGGCTGGGTGGGGAGGGGCTGGGTGGGGAGGGTGGGGCTGGATGGGGGTTGTGAGGGGTGGGGCTGGGTGGGGAGGGGCTGGTCACCCCGTGGTGCCCTTATAAAACTCAACGTTTAACCTACTCACGCCGGCTTGTGCCCGCCCTCACAGTCAGGCATATTTGCGGAATACACCACGCCGCCGTTGACCCTGGCCATTGACCGAGCAACCCAACGTTCCTACCAGCTCCCTCTGCAGGAATGTGTTACATACCCAGGGCTGCTCGAAGTTGTACGTTTTACGCCTCTCCTCGATCCCGTCCCGGGATGATGCCCCGACTCCTCCACCTCCGCCTGCCCTCGCCTCCCTGCGCCGCAACTGGAACTCTTGGAACAGCTGACTTATTCGGTCCTGGTGGAACGTTCTGGAGAGGGTAGAGGGAAAAGAGGAGAGGAAAAAAAGAGAGAGCACCAGGGAGAGGTGATATGTAGGGGTTAGCATAACGATCAGGTGTGCATGTGGAAATGGATGATTGCAAATGAACGCACGCATGGATGCCTTAATCCGGAACAGCTGAGATCTCCACGGCATATACGCAGCCCATATTGGAGTCATATGAACAGGAAACATAGGGTGCGAGTGCCTGGATACAAACAATGAGAATATAACGGAAGCTGTTGGAGAAAAAAAAAAGTATCTGGAAGGTGATAAATAAAGTTACAATTCAAGCGATGTTCCGGTAAGTCAAAAGAAAAAAAAAGAACAGAGCATATGTCATGTGGACGTACTGTATATTTCGATATGTCCTTAAAAACAGTTGTAATTTACAGCCCTTCGTCAATTCACTCCTGGATTAAGTTCTCCTAACGCTATGTCACAATCAAGGGGGTTGTTTGACCATATTTCACCATGCTGGTCAGTGTCGTTTGGTGAAATAGGGGTTGGGGGAGGGGGTGTAACGAAACAAAGTTACAAGCAAATTTCACCAAATGGCATGAGTGACCTGTGCTTGCGTGAAATTAAGCGAGATGCTTCACAATAAAGACGGACGTGCGTGCAAGCCAAAGGTTCAGCCTTTACGACTGCGGCTCTGCGTTTCATTCATACATCATAAAGGTAACTTTTTTTTACGCCACTGTATAAATTACGTGCGAGTGCGTGCGTATATTTGCAAGAGTGTGTGTACGAGCACATTAAAGCTATTTATTTTGGCTCCAAACACACGCACAAAAAACACGTACAACAAGTGTTATTTCTGGAACAGACAACCAGGGTAATTTATGAATTGGTGCCACTGGGCTAACTCGTGGAATGGAAGCGAGATTGAATTTACAGCCCTTTGTAAATCCACAGCCAATGAAGGCCTCCCCAGGCTGTATCGTTTGATGGAGTTATTTAACTATAGTTCACCAATTTGGGTTAAACTAATTTCTTTAAAACTGCTTTTTGTATTTAGTTTGTTGTCCTTCCCCCACACCTCCAATTACCACGGTTGGCTACGTACGGTGCAAAAGAAGTTCAACATACATACAGACCAATTCAAAAATCACTCGCCACTGAATTTACGGGGCTTGGAGAGCAGTGCCAATACTCACTGTGCCACTGCTCATGGAGTTGGAGAAATAAAAAAGAGAGAAGTGTGAAAGATTGGGCATGCGCATGGCAAATAATTAAATATATTATTTTTTTACTGGAAGTCATTGAGAAGAGGAGACCACGAAGATTTACGGGCAGCTCCTCGGGATGGCGTCAGAGAACACAGTTAAAGCAAAACCCAGGAGGTAACGGATACCTTGTGTCACCAGGAATGACACGCGAGCCGCCTTAATCAGCTCATGGTCTGATCAGGAGCCGTCACGGCGATATTGGATACATGTGCAGGAAGTGGAACATAAAAGGGAGATGAAAGAGAGCAAGGGAAAGAAATAGCGAGCAAGTGAGTGTAAGAGAGAAAATCTTGCCCAAGGCCAAGGCCGGCATGTGGATGGTGTTACACGGGAAGTCTTCCCAGATACACCGGAATTCCCATATTCTACAGGAACATTGCCCAGGGGAGGAATAAAAGAGGCCATATAGCCAGGATTTTTATATTCCCACAAAGTCGCACATCTTCCCCTTCCGCAAACATCAACACCAACCCCTCATGGCTGCGATGAGCCCCTCTTCCTGCCACCGGCCTCTCGCACACAGTATCCATCAATCAATCGGGGTGCCCAACACAGGATTTCCAACAAATGGACAAATAAACATGCACACACATTCATATAAAAATACGCGTATGAATATGTACGTTAACACACGTGCGGTGGTGGGCTGCAGAATCATAGTGTTTCGTGAAAACTGAATTTGATGCCCGGCCATTGGCAACATCAGTGGCAAATATTCGAACCAGTTCTGGACCTCTCCTAGGTCAATTCAATATTAAATGAGAAAACTGCTGCGGTGTGTTAACATTGGCACGAGGAAGACAAAGGCAGCCGGGCGTTGTGCTTGCCAGACACCACCTCCTCTCATTTGCTGTACCAGCCAATATAACGTGCTCACGAACAGCACTTTCTCACATGCAAGATTTCACTTGTGCAAACAAGCACACACAAATGCATGCGCGCTCTAACTGGATGAATTCTCTGTAGCCTGGACACGAATGTGCGGAGGCTCAGGGGGGATATAGGGAGAGTGCGAGTGTGGAGTGTGGAGAGGGTCAGAGAGCTGAATGGTAGGTGAAGCGGCCATGCCATCGGTGGGAACACAACTTGTCTCAGTTCGGTTCTGTTTGGGCACGTTAAGGCACCAGCACAACTCTGATCCAGGAAGGGGTCATATGTCACTTGCCACCAATGTTCCCCTTGGTTAATAGGAACAAAAGATACAGGTTATTAAGCCATATACACTCTTAGCAGGTACCATTTTAAGTACCTTAAAAGGCTGGCAAAAAACATACTGGGGTGATGTAATTATATAATAATGCCCTTCATTGAAGAAAGTTTCACCAAATCTTCAGGCTCGTTCTCAATACAGTCCTATATTCAAATGTTTTGTCAATTCTACTAACAATCGTGTGGCCATCATCATGTTCAGCTGCTGCTGTCAGCTCACTGATGATATTCTCACACCCTGCACCAGGTATCTATTTAAGGCTGAGTAGACCAAGGGGATTGATCTAAGGATCAACTCAGGGGAGGCCCAGAACATATTCAGGCACCACTGGCCACTGATGCTAGCCAACTCAAGTTGATTGAGTTTGGAGTGCAGTTCCCTAACCACTGCACCACTGTTCTGCACTAAGTAGAAAGACAAAGATCCCTAGACAAAGATCCCCCGTAAAGCCTTAACAGACTGTAGGGGCAAGTGCTGTTCGCGAGCACCTATGAAGGCCGGAACGGTACACAGGTCGGTGGGCGGCCAGCACTACGCCCGACCGCCTTTGTCTCTCCAGTAGCGATGTTTGCACACCACACCAGGTACTCATTTGAGGCTGAGTCGACCTAGGGGAGGCCCAGGACCGGTTCAGATAATCGTCACTGGTGTTGGCCATGAGCGGGAATTGAACCTGGGTCGCCGGGTTCGTAGCGCAGCGCGCTAACCGCTACACTACCGCTCCCCACTCAGTACACATACACGTGCACACACACACGTGCACACACACACGTCCACACACACGCACGATTGAGGATACGAGAAAAAATGCTGGCGGCAGTGGCTCATGGGCGCCTCTTCTCGCTCATATACGAGGGTGGGGCCAGGGTCCAGGGGTCATGGATGTGCCATCTCGCCAGGGGCCGTTGCGCCGCCACTTCAAAACGAGAAACCTCGCGCTTTTCCTGCCCGCGCTGTTACAGGCGCTTCCTTTGCTGCAACGTTGGCAGCGCATGAGGAACTGAGCCGGAGAGTTATGGCGCAGCACCATCCCAGAATGGGCAGCCTGGGGCTTCCCGTCCCCGCTGTTTTTTCGTGACAACTCTCACCTGCATCGGCGCCCGCCCACCCGCTGCCTCGTCCTGCCCTCTCCCTCTCTTGCCTCCCCTGCCGTCACCCCCGTCACCCCCATCGCTCAACGGAGGTGACATTTACTCATGGCTGAGGTCTTAAAATAGAGATGAGCTGGGAAATCAGGTGTCTGCGTTGGCTCAGGCGCGTCAGGTTAAATGCCCGTGTAATAGCAGCCGTGTTGAACACACGTTAAAAAACCACTGGATTAACTGGATTTCCACCAAAATGTCAATCAAATGCATTCCGATAATTGAATGCAAAAGCACGTGTTTTTGTTTCACGTGACAATATTCAATATTATTAGCTCCCTACAAGGAGTTGAAAGATTCATTCCACCTGGTTCGTCAGCAAATTATCACAATTCAGGGAAACAATTCGATTAAAGAATCGATTTTAAAAAATGTACGGCTCTGTGCATGGTCGCACCTCCAGTGACTTGCAGGAGAGATACATTACATAAAACATGCATGTATCAAAATACAGAAATTCTTACACGATCCGATGCAGGTGTTGTGAACTTAATAACTATATTAATTGATTAATCTATGCATCGCCACAGTTCTGCTATGTACAAACACACACATCGTGGCATTTAGTTTGTCGGGTAAAAATGTTTGCACTCAGAGTCGATGGACAGTCACATTTTACGCAAACCCCGGGTGGGAAAGATGCCACAACCAGAGTTAGATTCCCGGTCACGGCAAACATCAGTGGCGAGTATTATTTGAAGCGATTTTGGCCCCCACACCCCCATCTGTTACCAACCCACGCAGACCAGCGAGGTGAAACGTGGTCAAACAAACCTCTGCAACCGACATGGCGTGGGAAAGGAGGGCTTCCATCCAGCAGTGGTCTGACAGAAGGCTGTAAATTATCATGGAAACCCAGCTGTTCCATCACCTCCTGGGTCTGGAATGATTTGTCGGGTCAACGCTCGTAAAAAAAAACATTTTAAAAATGGGTGCTTGCATCTGATTCACTCGCAATGGGCTGCGCGAGCACGTTAATAAAGTGCAGGTGCAGAGAAGGGCGATGTACTCAGTCTGTTCCAGGGTGAGGCCTATTGGGTTGGCCAAGGGTTGGGACAAGTTCCAGACTCAGCATTATCCATAAGCCTGCAGCTGGTTCACAGTTTCATCTGGCTTAGTGACCAGAAGACCCTTGTTTATTCGTCATGTTACGATCCACCCCCCCTCCCTCCCCCCTGTGGTACTGCAATGTGATATACTGCAATGATGCGGGTCAGGATTCGATTAAATACTACATTCCTTTTTGCTCTGTAAGGCCACAGGCAACATTGCCACATGATTTGCAAAAATGGTAGAAAATAAATTATCACACGCGGGATCCTACGCGCATATTATAAGCGAAAGAATGGTTTTATAAACACTAAACAAATTTTCCTTCATAGTTTCCTCACTCACTATGCTGAAACAAACAAAATGATATATTCTAGCATATTCCCTTGTTAGGATATAGTGTGACCCTGAAAATGACACTTTGAGGAAAATGTATGCCTTCAGAAAAATAACCATGAAGTTAATTATGTATAGTATCTTAAATAATAAATGTAGAAACATTTGTCAATCCACTGATGGCGTCTCCATGCCATGTCAGTCATAGGGGATGTTTGACAACATTTTCACCGCACTGGTGAGGGCAAGTTGCTGAAGAGTGGGGCGTCAGGACTGGGTCGGGTATCACTCGCCAATGATATTAGCTGTGACTCCAAATTTAATTCCAGCCCACCAATCGAGCCCAAATGAAACATTTTTATTAGAAAGTTGATAGGTAATAAGACAGATGAGGAAAGAAGTCCAGATGGATGGAGGGGATGATGGACATGTGGATTTATATACAGAGCTACCCGAGTGCAAACTCTGAGGGACTACCAGCACGGGAGAGCACACGACTTTGAACTAAATGTTAAAGGTGGCGAAATGAGATGCACATATTGGGCATGGAATATGCTTCTCAATGAGCATCTGTGAATGTATTATTTATGATGTATGCTAATTAGACCTGCTGCCCAGGTCAGGCTCCAGCTCATCTGTGATGGAGGGGGCACAGCGGGGGCAGTAGGCCTAATGTATGGCCCTCCTGTTAACCCACCTACATAAAATACTGTATAGACTGTTCTTTTTTAATTAAACATCACATCCTGAATAGGGTCACACTATATCCTCACACACAGTTGCATCCTGTAGGGGTTAGACACCAGGCTATGGGGGAAAGACAGAAGCGGGAGTGTGTGGTGTGAAGCGGGATGCATAGAAGGGACGAGGCCCACGTGAGGCATGAGCAGCCGACTCGGCCCAGCTTGGTTCACTTCGCATGCGATTTGAGCACAAACACGGCTCAGCATCAGATAACATTGGTTGGGAATCAAACCCAGGTGAAGTTCAGAGCCAAGTGGGCTAAGCAATGCACCACTGCCAATAACACGATTGATACAGGCTTCAAACAGGCAAATTATTTTAATTATAATAAAAGCAATGTAAGCAAGTTTCATACACCTATATTGAACAGTACATCTAGTAAATAAATGTCGTGACTTTATTGCACGAACGTAAGAAATGTGTACAATAAGCGTACGACATTTTATTGGGAAAAAAACAGGGAATTAACAACATATGTGCTCACATACAAACATTTCGAATGTTCCTGTATATCAAATAAACCCATGACTAGATCAACTCGAATAATCTGCCTATATTAGAGTGAAGTCGATTTACACAGCAGATAAACCATGGCGAAGCGTAAACATCGGAAGAAATTTTACAGAACGGCCAAATTAAAGAAGTACCAACAGTTCGGAGAGTTATGTTATGTAATCTAACATTAAATAAACGCCACAGTTATCTGTTCAAGGACTCTGTACACTCGCTGCGAAACATCACAGAAGATGTGCCACATTCCTGCGATCCATATGCAGAATGCTAGCGGCGCAAATTTATTTGTGTAAAGTTAAAATTACAGTGTGACAATAACACTCATTATCATTTACAGCCCTTTGTCAATCCACAGTGCATTGGCCTGCACACGCGGTGTTGGTCATGGGGGTCGTTTGACCATACCTCAACATGCCAGTTAGTGGCGGTCAGTTAGTTAAGGGGGCAGGGAGTGAAGGAGTGGTTCAGATAGCACTTGCCGCTGCTGGTGTTAGCCATGGCTGGAAATTGAACCGAGATCACTGGGTTGATAGTGCAGTTTGGTAACTTCTCCACTGAACAAATGAAAATGTTGCGTATTCTATACAAAGTATTAAGCTAAAATGAACCCATACCCTGATCACTAGCTGTCTGACCTGCAGCATTTATTTTTCATTTAATGTCAGAGACCGCATGACTCCTGCATTGTTGCTTTGATGTAAACGTTTGTACTGAGAAGACAATGTGGGGATTAAACACGTCAACACATCACCAGCGTTGAAGAAATTCGATGGTGAGCATGTATTGTGTATGCACACGCGATTGAGCATCCACTTGTGCATTCGAAAACCCACAACTGTAAAAGTTTCGCACTCCACTCAACACTGCGCCACGCTGTTTGTGTCCTTTAACACGGCTCCTTAGCTCAATTGCTGCGAACTACTGTAATAAATGTGATGACGCATGGGGCATGTGCTTCCAATAAAACACTTCGTATGCTGCTACTGCCCCAAACACAGGTTATTATAGCGGGTGTGGGGGGTGGAGAGGAGCTGTTGGTGTACCCAGCGAATGATTAAGGTTGGGGGCCGATAGGGGGGTGGCGGGGGTGCAGGCGGTGGCTGCACGAAGCTCCTCATTGTTGGCATCTTTACGCTGCGTACACGTGGACCGCACGCTAGCGGAGAACCGCATGCGAGGATTACAAGGGCCACACGAAATTCATTGATCACAGCCACTGTGTGCTCGTAACGGCTTATATGATGAAGAAGCCAGAGAAAGCAAGGAGGTAGGAGAGGATGAAGAAGGAGGAGAGGAGTAGCAGGAGAGGGAACGAGAGAGAGGAGAAGAGGGAAGGAGAGGGAATGTGTTTACTCATCTGCCATGTTTATCGGGCAGTAGTGCTGAAATTTAATTAATTCCAAGTCACATCACCACTGCTTGAATGTGGTTATCATTCCCTTAAAACAAGTTGTCCATTTTTATTATGATGACTATCCTTAGTCTGCATCGATGTTTACTGATGTAACCAAATTGCGCAGCATCTTGAGACGCAGGCTGCTTGTAGATGCATAACAAATTGCATTACATTGCGCTCGGGGAATCGGTGATGTAGCTATCGAGCATGCAGGCAGTGCACAACTGCACTGGGGCCCTTGGGCTGCCTTAGCGACCCAAGCGCTCGCCTACGAAGAGAGCCCGTGCCCACCACGCAACCCCCCACTGCGATGAAGATTCACAGAGTGAAAATGCGTTGTTCCTCACCGCTCCCCGTTGGGCTTGGGCTCCCGGAGCCGGACGGCCGCGGTCTGCGACGGCAAGGTGGAGGACAACGAGGTGGCCGCGGTGGTCCTGAGCGTCGAGCTGCCATCCTCGGGTCGGACGGCCCGTGGCACCCCCGATCCCGCCGAGCCCGGGGCCGGTTCCCAGCGCGCCGTCGGGTAGGGCATCCCCCTCGCCTCCTGCTCCCACTCGGGCGTGTTGCTCCCCCCATCAGCCTTCAATGCCCTGGGGTGAACACGCATCATGCATGTGCACGCGCATACAAAGACAACCCCCCCCCCCCCGTTGGGGCAAGTGCTGTTAACGGGCATCTATGAAGGCCAACCCGGGGTGGGTGGCCAGCATCACGCCCACACCACACCAGGTACTTATTCGAGGCTGAGTCGACCTAGGGGAGGCCTAGAAACGGTTTAGATAATCGTCACTGGTGTTGGACGTGAGCGGCAATTGCACTCGGGTCGCCGGGTTTGTAGCGCAGCACGTTTATCACTACCCTACCCACCCCCCACGTGCACACGTGCACACACACAGGCAGGCGCAGATGAATAAGAAATCATCATTCATCGTTTATTGGCCACATTTGAAATACAACTGCATAAAGGTGTTCCCATGCAAGCGGGGACATTAGGCGCTTACTCGTTTAAGGCCCTCTGATGTTATCCCTGGCTGAGAGTTGAACCCAGGTTGCAGTGTGAACCACAGCACTCCCACAGACAAACGCAAACTCGAATGCTTTCTAAACATGGACATTTGATGTAACTCCCATGCACCATGACTAGGAATAAAAACAATTTCACTTCTTTGGTATGGTGGGGAGTTGATCAGCAACGTGTATTTGTTTATGTCACGGGGATTGTAGCGAAGACCTCTCACCAGCATAGCGCCGCTTTCCACAAACACCAAGTGTGCCCAAAAGTGTTTGCACACAAGTAGACAGGACGAGCTTGTGCACGGGCATGCACAAACCCAAAGGGTCCCACGTTTTGGCCCCTTAACAAACTGTAGGAGCAAGGGCCATTACACGAGGGTGGTTGGTGGCCAACACCATACCCAGCCACCTTTGTCTCCCCAATGCTGATGTTTGCACACTGCTCCAGGTGCTCATTTCCAGTTGAGTTGATCTCACGGTGGCCCAGAGCCGATTCAAATATTGACAACAGTTATTGGTGGTGTGCAGCAATCAAACTCGGGTTGCCAAGTTAGTAGCGCTAACCACTACACTACCGCTCTCCAAAACGGGCAAGCACACACACACACACACACTTATATGCACACGTGCAGAAATGCAAACAAAGACATACGCATCTGCCAGCTGCGGTAGGAGCGACATTTGCAGTAATCGCAAGGTAAGTGAGGCTAATGGGCGCACGCTCACTGTTGGATCCACACTTTTGGTGGCAGCTGTGCTGGGAAAACACTCTGGTGCTTTCCAAGGCTGCGCTGCCATCATAGCTACTTACATTTCCTGTTTACGTGCACACCCCCATGCAGACGTCGCCAACAGCCGTGTTTCACTTAAACCAAAAGAACATTTTTAAGGCAATAACACGCTTTTTGTTCCTGGGTAGAAAGTGTTCTTTTGTAATTGCGTATGCCTCAAAAGTATCGCAAATGTCTAGTGTTCCCCACAAATTTTGCTTTTGTGACCAGGACTTTAAGTGAAGGAATTACACAAATTTCAAAATATCACTGTCCTGGTCACAAAAGCAACGTTTGTGGGAATAATATACATTTTCTGTACTTTTGAGGCATAAGCAATTTGCAAATAACACTTACTACCAGCTACTAGTTGTATGAAATTCCGCTGCCAGTTTAAACAAAATCTAAGTAATCTGTTCACATTACTCCAATTCTGGCCTCATTACATTGGCTCCCAGTTCGTATTTTAGTAGATTTCAAGGTCATGCTTTAACTTGGAGGGAAATGAGTGCCCTACAAGACGCTGGACCATAAAGACTTCCTCGGCTCATAATACACACTATGGGTGATATAACTTCGTGATATGATGCTCCTGACCTTATGAACTCGCTACCACCCTCAGTAAGATCTGCCCAATTCAATGTCAGATTTAAAATCATGCTCGAAGACACATCTGTTGAATATGGCTTTTCCAAACATTGAATTTATCAGCAATTAAATGTTTTTCTTGATCGTTATCTCCTATATAAGTGCAATTACCGCCACTACTGTTGGGATGTCTAGAGCACTGAAGTAGAGTACAACGCAGCACAAAATAGTGAAAGCACAGGGCAGCACAGGGCAGCACAGGGCAGCACAGAACACTGAGGAACGACATAACACATTAGTTTGAAGCAATTAACTTGATGCACTTGGGCTGTGGGAATAGCCCAGCACACAAGGGATATTCAAAGGCCGTCTAAAATTGCTTTTAATAGAAGGGCCATTTATAGTTTTATGTATTTTACTCAATTTATTTTTTCCACGAAGACAATGCCCTGGCAGCCACACAGCTTTGCAATGGCCATGAAAATGTTATGCCCACAACTTTGACACACTACATGCTTTGTTTACGGACACGTCTGGAATCTCATAGATTTTGTTTTTAAACCACCATACTATTGGGTGAGCGGACAGGTGAGCGAAGATGGCACACACTTCCAGGGGCCTTGCATCTCTATGCGTGGCGCCCAGTGAGAGCCAACGTTGACTCTCACTGGGGAAGGGGGTGGGGGGGAGAAGGGATGCCTTAGCTGAAAATGTAACGTTTCCTTCCGTGTAACCCTGGCAACTGTAATCACAGTGCTGTAACATGGCAACTCTTCGCCATGATGGACGTGGCCAAAAGGTGGTGGTGAAAGAGACATTGAAAGCAATTCAGTTTCGATTTATATAGCGTCTAAATATGACCACATTTCAAAATTCTGTATGACAAACTGAGCTACACACAGCATTATGCAGTCTTCATCGAGAGTTCTTGAGCTCTAACTGACTGCTATTTTAATTGTACTGCTGGCCACAAGGAGTCACAATTACGGTGTGGACAAACAACATCCTCAAGCCATTTGATTTGCGAGTGGCCAATCAGACTGAGCGTGTGAAATTGACTGATCTCATGTGTGCATATACTGCAGACAGGACAGATTTTAGAAAATACGAATAAATGAAGCTGATGCTGGAGAAGTCGAGTGTGGGTGCGAGGGTGGGTGTGAGTGTGAGTGCGAGGGTAGGTGCGAGGGTGACCCATGACCACCCACCTGTCCGGCTCAAGGCGAGCTCCACCATCTAATGTTTCGGCTGGGCTCATGACCCGGTCTTGCCCACTCTCCTCTGGTCTTCTTGCTGTGTTCTTCCCATCTGTCTTTGTAGATTTGTCTTCCTTCTTGGGTCGGCCAAACCTGACGAAGGGAGCCAGGGAGGAAGGAGCCAAGAATTGGGAAGAGGGCAGGAGAATGTTCATGTAACATAGCCGTTCGCAAGATGTTGGACATGAGAGCAGTTAGCGGCTGCAGAGAGCAATGTGAAGTTATGTGCATGGGCAATAGTTACAATAATAACATTGCATTGCAAGCCAGACAAGCTCTGGAAACAGCGAGATGGAAACTAATTTTAGACAGAGATCAGGAGACAGAGACAGAAAGAGAACAGCGCCACTCAGAGCATTCGACCATTTGAGAAAATATGCAGGATGTTTATCTTTTGAAATACACTAAAACCACTCCGCAGCCCATTTAGAACTTTAATAAAAATGCCGCACTTTGCCAATCTGCAGATGAAGTCCACTGCATTCCCGTGCAATTAAAATAAAATCCAGCGAGTGAGGGTTACTTTTCTCAATATGGGGGGAAAAAATGTAGTACGGTGCATATATATGCCCTCACCTATTGCCCTCAAATAACTGAAAATACGAAAAGGAAAAGATGAGAGTAAAAATCGCAATCATCTACAGTGGCAGTGAGGCGGCAGAGTGGGATCGGTATGTTGTTGATGGGGAGAGAGAGAGAGTGGTGAGTGGGAGCCGAGTGGCTGGGTCCAGCCTCAGCCTTCATTCTCCCACGTGCCCCCACAGTTCCCTGACACTCGTCCTCGAGAGTTAGACATTAAAAGCAGCTTGTAGCCAAATTTAAATGCTTTTTTTTCCCCCACCAGCTCCCCCTCTCCCCCATTTTCTAAGTCCAACAGAAAGACAGCCAATTATTGCATTAGTGCAGCTATATTGGAACAGGTTTCCTCCATTAGAGCCACACACGGGGTGCTTGCTTACAAAGAAGGAGAGTCCCTATTCTTTGAGTCTTTCGGTCAAGTCACGTAGATAGGGTCAAAGAAAATACCAAAAAAGTTACTAAAAACTAGTAGTTTTTTTGTTATTAAAATAACTAAAAACTAGTAAAAACTTGATTTGGAGCATTCATGACAGCGGGAATAACTTTTCGGTTCTTTCGGTAAAGTCGCGTTGAAAGAAAATAAATTAAATAATAGAATACGACGTTTCGATTGCAACACAAGCAATCATCATCAGGCTCTATTTAAGACCGGGAGCAAGAGCAGAGCCTCACCATTTTGGCGAATTGCCCGACGATGCTGGATGCAATTACCAGCAAAACGTCGTACTCAAAATTTGTTTGTAAATGTTGTGGTTTCACGCTTCAACACACCAGTGGGCTAAAGCAGTGAACTATTTGTCTTTTGTCAACGTGACACTTTTTTGCTGATTGGCCGTGTCGGGTGGTGGAGGGTTACGACATATTTATAAATAACGCGATCTAACCCAAAAACGTTGATTATGAATAATATTGGCCGCGAAAGCCTACGTGTTAAACTGAAGTTTGTTTTATTAAGTTTATTTTCTCTCTATGTGTCTCTGTGTTGTCGCTCTAGTATTCCCTGCAGTCACGAAAGCTCCAAATCTCTAATTGACATGCTAATTTATCTACCCCCCCTTCTCTCTTTCTGCCCCCCTCTCTCTCTATTTAAGGCCTCTCTGTGTGCCTATGTGTGTGTGTCTCTCTGTGTTGTCTCTCTCTGCTTATGTGTATATCTATGTGTCTTCGTGTCTGTGTTTTTTCTCTCTCTCAAATGTAGCACTCTTTGGAAGAACGTAATTAACCAGGTAGGGTGTTGACTGTTATGTTAGCCGACTCTCTGTGTTGTATTGCATTATATTTCTAAGTTTACTAGGTTTATCTTCTTGGTTCTTTCGGTAAAGTCACGTAGAAGGGAAGTAATAAAATAATAAAAATAAAACATAATAAAACAATTCTCACGACGTTTCGGCCACAACGCAAGCAGCCGTCCTCAGGTGAAAACCAGGTCCGTCGAGGCGACAGAGTCTGAATGAAACAGCACACGAGCTTGGAGCATATATATAAGCTGGGCGCATTGACAAAGGAATTTGCATATCAAAAGGAATTTAGCATATTTATGGGAAATGCAGGAATGTGATTAGTACTGCATATGCATGTGCATTATGCAGGATTAACAGCATCAAAGGGAGCTGCAGTTACTGCTGCTGCAGCAGTTGCTGCTGCTGCTGCAGTTTCTGCTGCTGCTGCAGTTGCTGCTGCTGCTGCAGTTGCTGCTGCTGCACTTGCTGCTGCTGCTGCACTTGCTGCTGCTGCTGCACTTGCTGCTGCTGCACTTGCTGCTGCTGCTGCACTTGCTGCCTTATCCATTTTAATATAACACTATGTATTATTCTACCCACCCTAATGTGTATCATACTGCTATATGTTTACTGTACAATTACGACACCATACATTACTCTGCACACTGCACCATGCCAGTGAGTGGAACGTGGTCTGAAAGTCACCGTAAACGTGAACACAATCAGTTAAGATCCGAAATGGTTTATTACGTCCTTCCAATGATTGCTAAGCCAGAATCCATCTTCTCGGTTGAAATTGTCTCTGTGTTTGTATATGTGGATCGCCTCATGAACGAATCTCTCATGATAGCCAGATGGCTTGCAGAGAACCTCTGTCTTGGAGAAGTCAATGTCATGTGAGCCCACTGAATTGTAACAGTGATCTGCCACGGCTGAGGTGTTTGTCCTACCGTGTTTCAGGTCTGCCTTATGTTCACGGATGCGGTCCGAGACATGTCGTTTGGTTTCTCCAATGTAACTGCTACCACAGAGGCAACTTAGTTTGTAGACGCCAGGGTACTGTATGTCTGGAACCACATCTTTTACAGACGGGACCAGATCACGGATTTTATGTACTGTGTTGAATCGGACCTGGATCTTGTGTTTAATCAGGATTTTGGAGATCTTTTTTGTGACCCCAGCAATGTAGGGTAAGGTGATGGTCTTGAAAGGCTCCTCAACAGGATCCTTCTTGATGGTTGGAGTGATGGCTTTGCGGATTGTGTAGTCGGAGTAACCATTAGCCTTAAGAGCTTGGCGTACGTGTTTGAGTTCACTGGAAATGTGTTCATGGTCGGAGATGCATTGGGCTCTATGATATAGAGTCTTGATGAGGGAATTCTTCTGGGATGGATGGTGGTGGGAATCCGGTTTTAGATAAGCATCCGTGTGGGTGGCTTTCCTGTAGACAGAGTGGCTCATTGAACCATCAGGTCTCCTTTTGATTAGGACATCCAAAAAGGGTAGCTTGCCATCATTTTCGACTTCCATGGTGAATCTGATGGCTGGGTGTATGGAATTGATGTGGTCGAGAAATTGGTCTAGAGCAGGCCGGCCATGTGGCCAGATGACAAAAGTGTCGTCTACGTACCTCTTCCATAAGGTCGGGCGTAGAGTGGCAGTCTGGATGGCGTCCGTCTCAAATTTCTCCATGAAGATGTTGGCTACAACCGGAGATAGGGGGGAGCCCATTGGGGTGCCCTCAATTTGCTTGTAGAAGGTTCCATTCCAGAAGGTTCCATTCCAGGTGGAAGGTTCCATTCCAGGTGGAATGGAACCTTCTACAAGCAAATTGAGGGCACCCCAATGGGCTCTCCCCTATCTCCGGTTGTAGCCAACATCTTCATGGAGAAATTTGAGACGGACGCCATCCAGACTGCCACTCTACGCCCGACCTTATGGAAGAGGTACGTAGACGACACTTTTGTCATCTGGCCACATGGCCGGCCTGCTCTAGACCAATTTCTCGACCACATCAATTCCATACACCCAGCCATCAGATTCACCATGGAAGTCGAAAATGATGGCAAGCTACCCTTTTTGGATGTCCTAATCAAAAGGAGACCTGATGGTTCAATGAGCCACTCTGTCTACAGGAAAGCCACCCACACGGATGCTTATCTAAAACCGGATTCCCACCACCATCCATCCCAGAAGAATTCCCTCATCAAGACTCTATATCATAGAGCCCAATGCATCTCCGACCATGAACACATTTCCAGTGAACTCAAACATGTACGCCAAGCTCTTAAGGCTAATGGTTACTCCGACTACACAATCCGCAAAGCCATCACTCCAACCATCAAGAAGGATCCTGTTGAGGAGCCTTTCAAGACCTTACCCTACATTGCTGGGGTCACAAAAAAGATCTCCAAAATCCTGATTAAACACAAGATCCAGGTCCGATTCAACACAGTACATAAAATCCGTGATCTGGTCCCGTCTGTAAAATATGTGGTTCCAGACATACAGTACCCTGGCGTCTACAAACTAAGTTGCCTCTGTGGTAGCAGTTACATTGGAGAAACCAAACGACATGTCTCGGACCGCATCCGTGAACATAAGGCAGACCTGAAACACGGTAGGACAAACACCTCAGCCGTGGCAGATCACTGTTACAATTCAGTGGGCTCACATGACATTGACTTCTCCAAGACAGAGGTTCTCTGCAAGCCATCTGGCTATCATGAGAGATTCGTTCATGAGGCGATCCACATATACAAACACAGAGACAATTTCAACCGAGAAGATGGATTCTGGCTTAGCAATCATTGGAAGGACGTAATAAACCATTTCGGATCTTAACTGATTGTGTTCACGTTTACGGTGACTTTCAGACCACGTTCCACTCACTGGCATGGTGCAGTGTGCAGAGTAATGTATGGTGTCGTAATTGTACAGTAAACATATAGCAGTATGATACACATTAGGGTGGGTAGAATAATACATAGTGTTATATTAAAATGGATAAGGCAGCAACTGCAGCAGCAGCAGCAAGTGCAGCAGCAGCAAGTGCAGCAGCAGCAGCAAGTGCAGCAGCAGCAGCAAGTGCAGCAGCAGCAGCAACTGCAGCAGCAAGTGCAGCAGCAGCAGCAACTGCAGCAGCAGCAGCAACTGCTGCAGCAGCAGTAACTGCAGCTCCCTTTGATGCTGTTAATCCTGCATAATGCACATGCATATGCAGTACTAATCACATTCCTGCATTTCCCATAAATATGCTAAATTCCTTTTGATATGCAAATTCCTTTGTCAATG